CGCTGACGCTTGGGCAGGGAGTTGGGCGAGGCCACCAGCCCAGCAGGGCATCACAGTCCTGGGCACGCCGCTGGGGCATGCCGCGTACATCGCGGGAGCGTTGCGACGTGTCAGAGAGAAGCACGACGAACTCTTGGGTCGCATTCCCACGGTGCCACACCTGCAGAGCGCCTGGCTCCTCCTGCTCCTGTGCGCCCAGCCTCGGAGCAATTACTTGCTCCGCGTCCTGCCGCCCGCTGACACGGGAGAGTTCGCTGAGTCCCACGACCGGGCCATTGCCCGCTGCCTGGGGCGCTTGCTCAGCGGCACGGACGAGCCCTTCGAACTTTCCCAGCTACAGGCCAGGCGTGCGCAGCTGCCACTCCGGTATGGCGGCCTTGGCCTCCGATCTGCCGCGGCGTCCCGGGCCGCGGCCTATTGGGCCTCCTGGGCGGACGCCATGCCGGTCATAGGCGAGCGGCACCCGCGCGTGCTCGCGCGGATGCTGATGGGCTTGGCCGATCCGCGGGGCGCCTCCGCCACGCCTTCGACGCGGGCGGCGGCCCAGGCTGAGGCTGCTCTGCGCCTAGCGGGATTCGACGCGCCGCCGTGGACGGCCCTCGCGGACGGGCTCGCCACCGGCGAGGCGAGCCATTTCGGCGACGCGGCACGGGGGTGGCAACAGGCAGCTTGTGCCAGCCTGGATCAGCGGGCCCTTGAGACGCTCCTTTCTGACCTTGACGGAGCGTCTCGGGCCTTGCTGCTCTCCCAGGCTGGGCCAGGCGGCAGCCTCGCTCTCACGGCGCTGCCAACACGCGAGGAGTTCACGCTGCAGGATGACACCTTCCGCTGCGTGCTCCTCCGGCGCCTGCGCCTCCCACTGCCACTTGAAGCCCGAGCCTGCCGCTGCGGTGGCGCCCTCGATGAGCTCGGAGACCACCGGGCAGCCTGCCCCACAGCCGGTGTGCTGGTCCGCCGCGCTTGCCCCCTGGAGCGCGCTGCGGCGCGCATCTGCCGGGAGGCGGGAGCTCGGGTCGCGACCAACGTCTTCCTCCGCGACTTGAACCTCGGGCTGCCATTGACCGACGGGCGCCGGCTCGAGGTCGTCGCGCATGGACTCCCGGCTTTTGGAGGCGTGCAGGTAGCGGTTGATGTGACGCTCGTCAGCCCGCTTCGCCGTGACGGGAGCAGCCGATCTCGCGCCGACCACGAGCCCGGCCTCGCCTTGCGAACCGCGGCCGAGCGCAAGCACCGGGTAACCTACCCGGAGTTTCAGCGAGCCCGGCGGTGTCGCCTGACGGTGCTGGCCCTCGAAGTTGGAGGGAGATGGGGCGAGGAGACTGAGGCCTTCCTCCACCGCATCGCGCAGGGCCGAGCTCTCGCCAGCCCCGCGGCGCAGCGCACGGCGGTCGCAGCCGCGTACAGGCGCCGGTGGGGGCAGATGCTCGCAGTCGCAGCGCAGGGAGCGTTCGCTGCGAGCCTCTGCCAACTCCCCACCGACGTTGGCGACGCGTACGCCCGCGCGCCGCTGGAGGGCGATGTCCTGTCCGACGCCCGTTGGGCGCCGGGCGCGTAGGGACCTGTCGCGTGTTTCACCCTGTTTCACCGCGGCTTGACGGAAAAAGGTCCGCCGAAAAAAAAAAAAAAAATCTGCTGTCCACAGACAATCCAGAGGTACTCAGTACCTCAATGGCATGCAGACAAGACGCGCGCAATTTTTCATCATCCAGAGTGAGTTGTCAGATCAGCAGAGAGAAAGACTGATCAGTGCAATGTCTTTGAGAAACATCTCGAGATGATGAAGACAGTACCACGATCTCTTCATTACAACGAGAACATCCAAGATCCATCCATCCGACCTCCAGGAGGACATTGGAGTAACACTTTTCCACATTGGAACAAGGGGGGTATGAAGGCGAAGAAGGTTTCTGGAAGGGTTCATGGCGAATAATGATGAAGAGACTTTTTGGTTTTGGAGGAGAATAATGCTAATGCGTTCATTGCAAGAAAGGTGTCTGGGCGCAATTTCAGATTCAAGAAGAGAAAAGGAAAATAAAAATCAGGAAGCAGAAAGGGGAGTCACCAACGAGGTGGCTTCAAACCTTTCAGAAAACGTGGCTCCGGCGGGAAGGCCAATATGGCCAACGAAAACCAGGATCCCTACGACACACAGGAAAAGGTAAAGGAAAGAAAGGGAAGTATCCCTATGATGGAAATAAGGGTTATCCATCCTATGACAGTGGCGAGGGAAAAGGCGGACATGACAAAGGAAAATCCAAAACGTTCGCAGCCACGACAGAGAATTTGGAGGAGCAGCCGTCAATCAGCAGAATGCGCCATCCACAGAGCCGGTTGGACAGACCAAGATTGGGATCCCGGTTGGGCAGACCAAGACTGGGATCCATCGTGGAAGTGGAGTGAATCAGCCTGGCACTCATCCCATGAGACATCCAGCACAGGACAAGCGTTAATGGCATTCCATGACGCTTTTCAGCAGCGTGACAAAGAGGCCATCCACGAGAAGCTGATCCAAAACGATGCAGTTTCAGAACACAATTTGTCCGTCGAACAAACCAATGGTCAACCTGTGGATAGGTAAGACTATTTTCACCTTTGCAGACAATCCGCTAAAAGATTAAGAATCAGGTTCAGGCTCTGCAGCAGACAGGATCATCGACAAGAAAGGCCGGTCGACCATTGAGCCAGATTCTACTGCATCATTCGCAGACGAACCAACATCATTACCGCTTACCGAAGGCAGAATCCACCAGCGATTGTCAAAGCCCGAAGAGTTGAAGAAGCTCCACCTCGAGCATCGTCACATGACTACCGACCAATTTGAATTCAGAACCCGCGCTCTTCACTTGCCGAAATCTACCTATGACTTGTTTGACAAAATCCGAAGTGAGCACCACCCAGAAGCAAAACTAGTGGACTTCGAGCGGATACATTTGGAGACAGGACATTCATTGATCACTGTCAAAGTCCCCTCGGAACCGGAGAACATATCATTGTTTTTGTCATCCTGAATGGAGCAACATCACTGTCCTCAGGAACTATTTTGACCAGTACCACTTGCAGCCCAAATCAGTTGTTGGAGATCAAGCCGAATCAAGCCTTCATGACGGAAACTTGAACATTTCTACAAATCCCTCAATAGCAGACCGATATCGGACCGAACGCAGCATGGCCGAATCAAGCTGAAGGCACAGTTGAAGATCATCCATCAAGGCAGGCACGGCACCTGCAACCTTGAAGAGGGTATCATACCGACAAGTTGTGAAGCTGACCTTGCGAAAGTGCGGCGATGACCTTGCCAAAGTGCTGAGCCTGCCACGAAATCTGTACCTGACCTTGCGAAAGTGCTGCGCCTGCCGCGAAATCTGTACCTGGCCTTGCGAAAGTGCTGCGTCTGCCGCAAAATCTGTACCTGACCTTGCGAAAGTGCGGCGCCTGCCGCGAAATCTGTACCTGACCTTGTGAAAGTGCTGCGCCTACCACGAATATCTGTACCTGACCTTGCGAAAGTGCTGCGCCTGCCGCGAAATCTGTACCTGACCTTGCGAAAGTGCTGCGTCTGCCGCAAAATCTGTACCTGACCTTGCGAAAGTGCGGCGCCTGCCGCGAAATCTGTACCTGACCTTGTGAAAGTGCTGCGCCTGCCACGAATATCTGTACCTGACCTTGCGAAAGTTCTGCGCCTGCCGCGAAATCTGTTCCGTACCTTGCGAAAGTGCTGCGCCTGCCGCAAAAAACTGTACCTGACCTTGCGAAAGTGCTGCGCCTGCCACAAAGCCTGTGCCTGACCTTTCGAAAGTGCTGCGCGTGCCACGAAACGCTTTTTTTTGATCCCTGACAAGGTTATTTTTGATCCTTTGACTTTTCATAAGAGAAGAAGCTTTTTGACCCCCAATAAGTTTGTTTTCATCTCCATGAATAAGTTTTTTGATGCCTAAAAAGTTTTTTTTTGATCCTTTGACTTTTCATCTTAATAGGAAACCTAAGAGATTTTTTTTTGACCCCTAATAAGTTTTTTGATCTTCATGAAAGAGACTTTTTTGATGCCTAGAAGTTTTTTTTGATCCCTCACCCTGTTTACGCAGCACTTGCACGCTGTTTTGCGGAGGGCACCAGGCCGGCAGCCGCGAAAGCAGGGCAAGTTGGGCACGCAGCGAGAAGGTCGCTCAGATCCGGCAAGGCCCATGAAGGTTGCTCAGGCCAGGGGAGGGCAAGGAAGTGAGGCGGTCAGAGAAGGCCAGTGAAGCAGCAGCGCACAACATGCCCGACCACCGGTGGACATAAGCGCTCCGAAGGGTAGGGCGAAGGGTCTCAGGCGGGCGAGCGCAACAAGGCGGCAACGGGCGCTGGCAAGAAACTCGGGGAGAAGAAAAAAGGCAACCAGGTTTTGGTGCCGAGCTTGCAACAGTGTGCCACTCGGAGGCCTTTTGCGTGAGTTCGCCGAAAGCCAACGGATGGAAAAGTGAGCTGGAGCCATAGCCATGTTAAGTCGTGGCATGTTGCGGGCGCAGATTCCAGTGTCAAGACGCGGGCACGTCACCTTCATTTGCATCTCGAAATACGTGAGAGATCGCGCACCTTTGATCGACAGCAGCCTTTTATGGTGCCCAACAGCAACTGAGCTGCTTGTCATGGCCCGAACATATTCCATACGACGCCGACATTCTCTGAGATGCAGAAATTGGCTCCGTGACAGAAGACACCTGCTCTAGCTCCAGCTTATTGGCATCCTGCGAGTGTGCCTGCAATTCCGGTTTATTGGAAGGCATGCTTGCTTTTTGTTTGGATTTGCTGATGCACTTCAAGATTTGGCTCAGGAACAACTAGGCTCTATTAGCACTATGATGCTCCCATCGATACGCACACACGCAACGTCATGCAAAGTGCCAAAAACATCCAAAGCATCAAAACATGTTGTGCACTTGTTTCAAACGATCCGCTTCAATTATGTCAACACACTGCACGGAACAGTAAGAGTGAAGACATCAAAGTGTCGAGCATCAGGTAAACGGTTCCATTGCGGCTTGTTGGGTAGTAATCCAGCAACGGATGTCCAACTGTTTTTGAAGGACACGTGTGCCTCACCTGAGTTGAGGCGCCTTTGGGTGAAAAATCCGGGCGAATCCCCATTGTGATGTCGAAATCTTCAGTGACTCGGGAGCTGCAAACGGAGCTGGAGCCAGAGCTTGTGCGCGGCGTGCCTTTGGACCTTTGCATGAGTGGCTGGGCGAAGCATTTCGTACCTCCTGATCCTGGTATGTTCAAAGTGGACCGTTCGAACTACGACCTCAGCAAGCAGACGCAATACTATGATGAGTTCCTGAGCCATGATTGGGAGACATCTCGATGGTACAAATTATGTACCATGCTGATGATCTACAACTCCCGAGCCGCATTTTTTTGCTCTCTAGTTGTCAGCATTGGTGTGGGCATTTTGCGTGCAGCCAGGATCCTCCCAAATGCATTGTGGGTTCAACTAAGTGTCTTCGCCGTGTTTCCTCTAGTGCTGTGCTTTTGGCAGCGGATCCGGAGCATTTTTGCCAAACCTGCCGTGGTCTTTCTTGACAAACTCTGCATCGCGCAGCACGATGAAGAGCTGAAGCAGAAGGGAATCTTCGGATTAGCCGGGTTCCTGGACCATTCACGGCAGCTCACCATCTTCTGGTCTCATCGGTATTTCAGTCGCCTTTGGCCGCTTGGGCTTCGCTAAATGTACTTGTGTTCCTTATTGCCAATATCATATTGATGTTTGCCGTGCTTCCAACTTGCGTACGCCAACTTGCGTTTCGGATGTTTAGAGCAAAGCAGCCGTCTGTTGTTTGCAATCAAAAGAGGTTGCGGACCATCCTTTTGTTACTTTTTGGAGTTATTTTCTATACGCATTGTTTGTTTGACTCTGTTATGGGTTGTCCTACACATCTTGGCTTGCCTGCACTGAATTGGTTAGATCTGCTTTGTTCTCTTTGCGTTTACAATCACACATCGCAACATACCTGAAGTGCGGCTGTTAGCAGAAAGCATCTGACAGATCTGAAGGTTGTGCGCACCCAAATCCCAATTGTAGCACGGTATGTCTGGTCATGACCCGACCAAGGTGTACCTATGAGGTTGGCACATTCCTGAGGGCAAAGAAGCAAAAACCAATTTTGGTGATACCTGTGAAGTTGGCAGTGATTCTTTCTTTATTCTCCGCCGCAGAGCTGGTGATCATGGTCGGATACTTTTCGTCAGCTTATTTGAACCTTGATACCGAAGACACCCCGAACGACGTGGAGCAACTGCTATCATTCTTCTTATTCTTCTCGCTATTCTACATGCCGGCCTTGCCTTTGCTCTTTTACCTTGGCATAGGAATGATGTCGGATCTGAAGGAATTGCCCGGGCAGCTGCGAGAATTCAGAGTTCAAGACGCGGAATGTTTTTGTTGCTCGCACAATCATCGGCATCCTGACACGGGTGAAGTTCTACTCTGTGACCGTGAGTTGATGTTTCAAATGTTGAAGAAGTGGTTTGGCAGAGCTGGGGACCTCCACGACGAGCACCTGGAGGTCTTCAATCGGCTCGTCCACGAGGACCTGGCACCGCGAGTGCTTCGGAGTGTGGGGAGTGATGTCTTGCCATTCAACTACAGCATTGCGGAAGATGTTGGCACTGATTTGCCCAGTTTGCTCGGTTTGCCGAGCTTGTTTGGAAAGATAATGAAACATGTAATAAGCTTTAATGAATATTGTGTTTGAATGTAATATTATGTTTATTGCTTATGCCACAATATGGAAAGTAAGTTCCCTCACAAATAGTGGTGATGTCCATTTCCAATTTTGTGGGAGCACTATAGCCTTGACATTATTTTGAAAATGGCCATGCTTCGCCAAGGTATGTACATGGTCGTGGTTTGCACTTTACCAGGGCTATGCACTTTGATTCCCACATTGGCGGCCGGACCACCAAACAGTTCCTTCAACGTCTTCCAACATGGGGTTTGGGCCTTGCGCGAGATCATGAACTGGGCTTTTGCCGGCGTCATAGTGCTGTATGCTCTTCGCCTCAGTACGCGAGGCTGGCTTATAGCAGTGCGGCTTGCAGGCCGCTGTTCTCGTCACCATCAGTTGATTTGTTCGTTGTTGATGCCTATGATCCTGACCCTCACGCATCTTGGCCTGCCTGCAGCTTACAGTACTTCTTAATGTTGCGTGTGTGACTTCTCCTTGTTTGGGCTTTGAGATTTCCAGATTCCAGGCCATGCGCACACACACATTCATACAACTGTATGACATATTGCAAAGGTAAACTATTATATACATACGTTTGTCCTCTTCATTTCCCCCCCCTCGGACACCAACACGAATCCAAGGTTGTCTATTCAATTTTTCTCCGTCCAGCTTGCTTTGCGCCACTCGGAACAAGACAGCTTGCTTCCGGCAATCCCCTTCGTCACTTGGTCGCTTGCTCTCTATTGTTTTTGGACCTTGACGCCAACGACATCCAGCGGGACGGGCACATCCTTTGTTGCGGACTCGCCAATCTTCAAAGAAGAGCCTAGAAACAAAGGTGACAGGGCAGATGGAAACATATTGAAGACTGCTTGCGACGACGATGCATTCTCCACATTTTCGACTTAGAGAAGTCCCACTATAATTTTCCGGGCAGTCAGATGTTGGCATGTGGAGGTGTCCCAAATTTGACTCCTCAAGTCACGGGCCAACGCCTTGCCCTAAGAAATTCCCAGGGGACATTGTACAGTGTAGGGCAACTCCGAACGCGCTTGGGTGGCGCACGCCGGGCAGGCCAAAACAGAAACAATAAGTGGAGGGCCAGCCCAAACACCAAAAAACGGCCAAACGACAGCGGCCCATTGGGGGGGGGGGGGGGCCGGGGGAAAAATAGTTAAAATAGGGGGTGTAGGGTAGGGTATTTTCAGTTCAGGGTTTCAGGGTTCAACATCACTTTTCAACAAGCAAACCATTTTGTTCAAAACATAAATAGGGTTTCTGAGGAATTTTTCTAAAATTTCTAAACATTTTTTTACAATTGTTTCATTTAATAACAGTCTAAGATATTGACATTTTCAAGGTTCAGGTTTCAGACAATTTTTAAGCTTTCTGGGGGATACAAGTGTTTAATCATATTATAAGTTGTTAATATGAATAAACCAATAATATTGCTTAGGGCTTCCAATTGCTAAAATCAGCATAAATACCAATGTTTTCACCAATCTCATTCCACCAATGTTCTATTTTTCTTGACCAGCCTAATACTGTTTCTTTGTCAATATGTTTGTTTCTTTTCTTATGCTTCTCATAATTAAACCGAATGATTGCTTGAAGAATTAGAAAATTTGTTCTCCTAAAAAAGAATTTCATATCTTCAATGTTTTTACAACCTGTGAATGCTATATTGTTTAACTCTGCTCCATATTCAATTACTTTTCCTTCATCATATAGTTCATTGTAAGTCTTCATTAACAAATCACGATAATAATATTTTACTAATGGGTTTTCAGGATAACCTAATTGCTGAAATGAGTTAAATACATCGTTCATTTCATCATAAGATGGGTAAGGATTTAACTTAATGAACCTTTTAACTTCATCACTTTCTTTTTGTCTGTTCTCCATCAACTTCTCTACATTTTCTGTGGTTAATAATGTCATACCTTCCATTGCTCTTAATATGAGCATTATTGTTGTGAGTATAGTATGAGTTGTTATAGTGGTTGTATCGCTGGTGAAATTGAAAACGGGAGAAATTAACTGCTGTTGATTCATATTATTATCTTATAATATGATTAAACTACCTTAAAGTCAGTCAAACATATACTTAAAGAAATGAGACCTTAATATATTTATTAATTGGTCTGTGTAAATTTCAATTAAGTCGCTTAATATATTTCTCATATAAAAATCACGATTTCTATATGGCCACCAACTGTTTAGGTTTGGAAAGCTAAACCCGCAACGTGTATAATTTTTTAAATCTTCAATGTTAAGGCATTTTCTTAACACGATACTAACTTCATTCTCATTATTCTTACAGTATGATTTTAATGCTTGATAATACATTTTTCTATTTTTAAACCGTTCTTTAACTTCTTGTTTATCAAATACTCGGTCAATGTGTTTTCTGTAATGTCTTTTTTTTATACTATATTGGTTTTCTGCTAGTTGTGAAATATCATTATTTTGCATTTGTTTAATAATTTTTAATTGAAGCTCTGCTTTTTCTAGCCCTTCTTCAGGAATGTCTTTATCTCTCATAAAATGCTCTTCTACATACCTAAAATACAAACAATCAAAACATGTTGGTTTACTATAATCACCAATAAGAGTACAAACATTAACATGTAAAATATGTGCTAGTGCTACAACAGACTTACAGTTTTCATTTTTACAAGGACAGTTGCTATAATTAAGCAGTGTCATTTCTCTTATTATATTAAGGGGTCATTTCTTTAAGTATTTTTAGTTTTTGTAGGGTTGGTATTTTGGGTTTCAGTTTCATCATTTTCACTTTCAGACTCGTCCCCATCCACACCGGTAGGGACAGGCGGCGGCGCTATTTCATAATTAGCATTTTCTTCTGATGATGACGAATTAACAGTATGCGTTGAAGAACTATTAACAGTGATAGGTGGAGAACTATGAGCACTAATAGGCGGAGAAGTGTTTAACTCAACTTCTTCATCAGTATTATTACTTAACCAATTCATTATGGCACTTGCTATATCATAAGACGATACTAATGAATTCATTGTTAAATTAACGAATAACTCTGAAATTTGGATTGTTGTTAATGTAGTGTGATATGTTAAATGTGCTACTATTTGTCCTATACTAAAACCTGACCTCATCTCATCATAAATTCTATAATCCTCATCAACATAAATAATTTCTTTCTATATTTATCAATGTCATCATCTTTTTTGTCATCATCATCGTCATCGTCATCATCATATAAATCAGGGTCATATGTAAATGCTTCTGCTTCTGCTTCAGCCTTGGTTATCAATTTGCTCTTATACTTCTTTGAAGACCCACCTAATAGTTTTGTCATATCATCAAAATTATAAGTTTGCGTTGCCTTATCATATGGTAGGTCTGTTTGTGTTGCCTTGTTTTCTTTGTTAAGCGTTTGTGTTGCCTTGTCTGCCATCATAACTTGAGCGTTCATATATCTTTCTTTATTTTTTATAATTCATTAAAGCCATTTTATCAAAATCAAAATTATTCAATAACATAGCTTTCTTGTATTTCTTCAGTATAACTGTTGTTTTTAGTTTGCTTGTCACTGTTTGTTTAAGCATTTCATCATATGTAGGGCGTTTCCTTAACTCGTGTTTGTGGTTGTTAATCATTTTATATAATTGCTGATAAATTATATAAATGATTTTATCATTCTTTTGTTGCTTTACCTTTTCCTTTCATACCTCTCCAATCTTCCATTCTTTTTCTTAACAATTCATCATTTACTTTCGTCGTCCATTTCCCCTTTGAAATTAATTCTTCAATCACATTAATTAAGTATTGTTTCTTGGATTGGTCTTTGCCCTTTCCTTTCGTTTTTAAACTGTCATACTTTGCTTGTTGTTCTGCTGTCATTTGAAAGCCTCTTAAATGTAGTTGAAAAAAGATGTCATCTGTGCTAATGTCTCTGTGTTTCCATCTGTCTATGTCTGTGTTGTAATCTATTGTTTCGCTTGCTTTTCTTGATTTAGGTGGTGCTTTCGTGCTTTCATCATCATCATCCTTTGTTTGTCTGCCTATGTTTTCATTTTCTCTTGTCATTAATCCTCTTTGTGCCCCTTGTATCCGTTTAACTGCTTCATCCTTTGTCATAATTGGTTCTAACGGTGGTAAGTCATCATCGCTTGATTTAGCAGTTGCCATTGATTGAACCTCTGATGGGGTATCATATTTTTTTCTTCTCCAATTTGTGGCGACCCGTGCCCTTTCGTGTAAATCATCTAAAAATTGTCGTCTAACATCTTCTGACATTTGACTTATTTGTTGTTCGTGTTGTTCCTCGGCGTCGTCCATTGTTGCACTTAGTGTTTGTATTGCTCCGTCTCTTAAATCATCCATTTCATCATCCTTTGCCATATCAAACTGCTCAACGGTTTTATGTTTTTCTAATATTTTTTGAAAGTGTTGTTGTCTCAAATCTACGGTATTATTATCATAAACTGTTCCTAATGGACTGTCGCGAAAATAATAAGTGTTTCTGTCTATTACATCTCTGATATTCTTATTTTTATATTCTTCCTTTGTAATTTCCTTTATCAGTTCATTATAAGACGGTCTTAATCGCAATTGTGATTTTAGCGTTTTCATCTGTGCATTGTCTAATCTCATTAGTATATAAAATTAATTAGATTATAATCTATTAATCTAATATAATTAATTTTTTCAAAATCAAAATCTTGTCTTAATTGATTGATTATTCCTTTCTTCTTCTTAATCATTTCTGAATAGTTTTTACCTGCTTCACTTGATGGATGATGTCTCAATTTTTCACCTTCCAACCTTTGAATTTCATTAAAATACGCCTGTGCTTCATCTTGATATCTTCTTTTATTTTGAAATATAGCATAATCTTTCTTTGCATTATGAAATTCTAACTGTTCCTTCATTTCTTTCAGATATGTATAATTTGGTTGATGTGCTTTGTTGTCTTCTTCGTAATAGTAATGGACGCTTGATTTAAACTTCTTACTGGGCTTCGTTATAGGATTATAGAATTTGTTTGATGTTGGTAATTTACCTGCTTTGCCATTCTTTTGTGAGTGTTGATGTTATATTTTCAATATCTGACTTGTTCATATAATAATAATTAGATTAAATAATTTTACTTGCTAAATTATTAATTTTCTGTTTATTTTTATTATCTCGCTCTACCTTCATATTATTGTATCTATCTTTCGCGGTTTCAAATACTTTATTGGCAGCTGTTTCCAAATGTTTTTTCAATCGTTCTTCAACTCTTCTATTTCTTGTTCATCTACTTTTGGAATATCGCTTTTTACTCTGTTATAAACATCTTCTTTGAATTCTTCTGCTTGTACTGGATTGATGACCCTTTTTCTGATGGGTTTATTTAAATCTATAACTTTATTAGTGCCCTTCTTCACTCCTCGGCAAGCGTGTTTATACTTATAGTTGTAAGCAGTCATTAAAGTTCCACAAGTAGGACAGTTCATTTTCTCCTTCATTTGCTTTTTAACAGTAAATTCTTTTTCAACTACTTCATTATTCTCAACAGGTTTAACTTCTTCAACTACTTCATTATTCTCAACAGGTTTAACTTCTTCAACTACTTCATTATTCTCAACAGGTTTAACCTCTTCTACTGCTTCGTTATTTTCACTAACAACATCTACCACCTCTATTTTGCTCATATATTTATATTATATAATTATTTTTAATGATGAATTATTAAGTCTCAATAAATGTTAAACTAAAACTACTGTCCGCTCCGTGTAAATCTACGGTTTTTCCATAAGCATCAACATACTTGAAATGAAGACGACCCAAATGTCTCATTGAAACATCATTAGCGTCATTCATCAAAATCTCATTATCATAGATTACATGACCAAACCCTGCAGTAATAGGAATTTTCTTTAATACACGAGCAACTCCATAAGGTGCTAGTTGGTTGCCATTAGTTAAACTATCAGTGGTTAAGTAAATATTTTTCATTGGCAATAAATTAACAAAACCACTAACAAAAGGGTCGGGAGCAAAATTGATTTTTTCAACAGTGTTTCCTAAAACATTGTTAATAGACATTG